GGTGGGTCAAGGGGAGGGCGAAGTGTGTGCGGGGTGGGGTGCCAGCGGGCGGGATGCTGGGAGGCGTGAGCTGGCGCCCTGCCAGCTGCCCCACGGGCTCACCCTGGGGCGGCGGCCCCGCGGCGCCCGTGACGGCACCCATGCCGGCGGCCGGGCCTGGGGCGCCGACGCCGTCCGCGGCGCCGTCCAGCGTGCTGCCGGGCGCGGCGACAAAGCTGCCAGCGCCCGCCCCCTGCTCCGCGCTCCAGTCTATCGAGCAGGCGCCAAAGTCCACCTTGGCAGGCGGCCCCCGCCCCGCCAGCGCGCCCCGGCCCCCGCGCCCGCCGCCGCCGCTGCTGGCGCCGGCGCCGGCGGCCTCCGCGGCGGCCGTCGCCGTCGCCTCGACCGCGAGCGCCTCGGCGGTGGATGGCGCGATGGAGCCGCTCTCGTGCTGCTGCCGCTGCGCCTCCTGGCTGTGCTGGTACTCGCGCACAAAGGCCTTGACCGCCGCGGGGGTGGTGAGGCGGGAGGCAAGCTCCGGAGGCACGCACGGCACGCTGTCCGCGTCTAGGCTGTCAGAGTCGGGGTTGCCCACCAGCAGCGGCACGCAAGACGGCGGCATGGCGGCGGCGTCAAACCCGCTGCCGTCCTCGTACTGCCCATACCCGTCCTCCTCGCCGCCGCCGCGGTAGGCCGCGGCCACCGCCGCCGCGGCCGCCGCGTCGCCGGCGTCCATGGTCTGTAGCAGCCAGTCGTGGCCGCGCGTTCCCGCGCGCGCCTCGCCCGCCGCCGTCGCCCGCGCCAGCTCCTGCGGCAGGTAGCGCAGCCGCTCCACCTCCGCCTCCCGCATGCGGGCAAAGGGCTGGCGCAGCGCCTTGGCCAGCGCGCGCTTGGACTGCCCCACCACGATCAGCGCGGCGCCAGCTGGCAGCGACATGTCAGCCGGGTTGACCAGCAGCCGCTCGCCGCCGTCAATCAGGCCTGGCGTGCCGGGAAGCAGGGAAGCAGTAGATTGGCGGGCGGGCAGGTGGGTTGACGGCCGCAGGGTGAGCGGCGGCTGGCTCAGGCAAGCAGGGTTCGCCTGAAGATCGCGGCAGGGCTGTGGCCTGCCCCTGCCATCTCCCTGCCACCCGCCACCCACCTGCCCACCCTCACCCACCTCTCCGTCAGCTGCTCACCTATCAGCACCTTGCCCGAAGACCAGTACAGCCACTGCGCCACATCAGCAAACCGCCGCCCCACCAGGCTCTGCGGTACCGGCGAGTGCAGGAACTGCGGCGCAGGGCGGGACCAGGGAGGAAAGGAGAGGGAGGCCGCGGGCGTCAGCCGCGATGCGCGCCACACCTCCGGCGCCCCAAACCAACACCACCCCATGCTGGTGGCCACCGGCCAGCCCCCCACATGCTCCCACCCGCCAGCACACCACACCAGGCAGCCAAGCCCCGCCGCAACCCGCCCCGCCCCCACAGCCAGGCGCTGCACCTGGTACGCGCAGCCG